CCCAAACAAACAAATAAAACCCCAACAAAGCCACTTTGATTCCCCTTTCAACCCTCTTCGGAAGAGGCACGTGGACAAGAATAACAGGATGAATGTGTGAGTGTAGAGGACTGAGAACTGTTCCGACATCTCTGTACCTGGATGTCATTGAGCGGGCACTGATGGACGTCCTCCGAACTGATGGCCCAGGTGATGGTTTGTTTGTTGTCGTTGTCGTTGTCGTTGTCGTTGTCGTTGTCGTTGTCGTTGTCCTAGAAGGTATTGCTGTCCTTGTTGTTGCTGCTGTTAGTGTTGTTGCTGTCGCCATATGAACTGTTGTTGGACTGGTTATTGCTGCTGTTGTAGATGCTGTCAAGTTGAGAGTATTGGATTTTATCCTTCATTTAGAATTATCTTTTTGTGCCAGGCTAAAATAGCAGTTTCAATGAAATGCACGGAGCATTAGCAAATAGAATTCTCCTTGAAACAAAAGTGCAGTACTTTATTGCAACAAACATGGAGATTCCTTTCTTCTCTTTGCCATGGCTTTCTCAGATTGACACAAGCCGTTGAGATTTTGGGGAAAAGTTGAAACATCTCCTTTGAGAACTGAAAACTTCCCGTACGCCTAACGAGCAGAAATATGTCACCTCCTTTGTTTGATGGGTTTTAAAAAGGCCCAAATTACCTATCGCTTCTTTCGGTACTCGTGAAAGGAGACATTGGATGAAATCCTTTCTCTGAAATTCCGTGAATTACATCCATATAATTTTCTCACCGCAACACCGCTGAAGAAGCAATTCTCAACGTGTCAAGATGGGGCCCAAAAATATAATTGGATACCAAAAAAAGCGAAAAGTTGGAATCAAAATATTTCACTAAGATTTGTTGGCGACTTGACGAGAATGTGTAAATCATAAAAATACTGGAGAAAACATCCCACACCGACTGAAATTGAACCAATCAGGATTTTACGCTTTTTGACCTCCACCAATGAGAACGTCCAATCGGATGTAGTTAGAGCTCATGACGTCGACAATTGAGGGGTTCTTGGGGCGCCACCGGGCGGGAAATTGAGGCCTTGCTCGGAAATGGAGCGGCGGAAAGGGGAGAAAACTCGCAGCTTTCCGCCTCAGATTAGCGGTAATTTGTACATGGGAACGAGATACGAGGCTGGGGTAAAAGATGGTGTGCG